CCAAGAGTAGGAGATCAATACATCAGCTTAACTCGATGTTACTTTTAAAAAGCTAATAAAACAATGAACACAGTCGGCTATGCTAGGTTAATTATCTTTTAACTATTCATTTAACTGCTTAAAGAAACCCCCAGAGCATCCCAAAGTTATTTCAGAGTTTTCAGGCACAAATCAGAGTCCTTCAGCCACTATTTTTTCTTCTCTTTTCTAATCCTCAATTTATATGAACTTTGGGGGGCTGCCGCCCCCTTTTCAGAGGGTGAGCCCTCGTCCGAGCCTAACTCGCCATCAGATTTGCTTCCTTCTCATCCTCAGCTGGTTCCCTGAGCTGTGTTCGCAGAAAATCATGTGCCTTAAGAATAGAGTCAATCTTTTCTTTTTTGTCGTGAAGTTTGAAAATGACGCCTTCTGGAATTAACCATCTGTAACTGGTGCCATTTGTTTGGAAAAAATAGGATTAGTTCTTTATAATTCTTTCTCTTCTGTTTTATGTCAAATGGGATGTCTTTTAAAATCCTGATGTTGTTGTCCCCAATTTTCAAGGGAGTTCCCATAGTTGCTTTCAAAATAGAGTCTCTCACATGTCTCTTCAAGAATCTGACTACTATTTCCCCAGGCAGATTATTTTTCTTGATGTATGAGGAACAGGACCTATAGACCACATCCATCTTGGTGTAGAGGTATTCCGCTGTCAAATCTGTCATTGGGGCTATTGCTTCACTCAGCCGTTGCTTCAGATTCTCTCCTTTAATTTCCGGGACCCCTTGAAACTGTAGGACCAAATTGGCTTTCTCTATTTGCAACTGCAATAGTTGTGACTCTTCCATGGCTTGCTTCATTTCCAGCTTTTGCACCTTTTTCTTAACTTTTTTAGTATTGGCGTCCATTTCCTTCACCTTCTCCCCCATTTGGTCTTGTGCTTTTAAGGATTGGGTCAATTGTAGCTGCTGTGAAGCCAAACTCTGGCCAATTATTGACAGTTGTTGCTTGATATTAGTCATCTCATCCAGCAGAGGGTGCAAGGAATCTGCCAACATTTTTGAAAGCTCAGTGGTGTCTTCCGTTCAAGGACAACCCACTAGTTTAGCTTTCAAAAGTTTTTCTTTCTCCGGTTTCTTCCCCGCCATCTTTTTGGATTTGTTTACTTATCAAAAAGTTGCTAAAGTCTCTGATATTCGCCCAAATGCTTGTCTGCGCTCTGGTAAGTCTCTGAAAACAGTTTCAAATGTGCTTATTTTTCAACTCCCCCCTCTTTATTCCATGTTTTCGTTCATGCGTTTGGGAGGGGCCCCTCCCCTGCTCGCTTCCCGTCTCTCTTTAAGGGGGGCAGCTTTCTTTTTAAATCTTCATGCTCGCTTCAACCCGACTCACAGTTCATTGTTGGCCAACCGGCCCCGCTTGGTATCGGTTTTTTTCGCCCAATCTCCAATGCTTGTCCCGGTCAGCAGTACTCATACCATACGGTCACTCAGCAGCAGGACATTCGAGGCGGAGGAGCACCTCAATTATCTGGCATCGCGCCATCGAAGAGGTCGCCCCTCAAAAGCCCCCTGGCTAGGAGCCTTTTACCAAGGCTCCAGGGGGGTCACGACCCGTCGCACCCCCTCCTACACACTGGTGTGCAGTTCGTATCCCCGGGGCATCCGGGAGATGCGACTGCCTGCATGTCGCCATAGACCGGAAGTCCGACAAATAAATATCATTATAAATATCTGCTTTTACTGCTTTTGTTATTATTTTTGGCAGTCTCATTTAATGTTAACCAAAAGCAAATTTGCATATTTCCCAGTAATAACATGTAATATTTGTTCATGTCTTGCGGCTCTCAAACATCTGACGTTTATTCTATGTGGCTCTTATGTTAAGCAACTTTGGCCACCCCTGCTCTATAACATAGAAAAAAACAAAATATAGTACAAAGCCTCTTCAAACATAGTTGTGTGTGCCAAAAACATGTATTTTGGTTACTGCAGCACACAAGGGGCAAACTTAGAAAAGGTTTGTTTTTAATTATTTTTAAAGGGTTTGTTTTTAATTACTATTTTTTTCTGTGTTGCTACTCAGGAGTGTACTTTTCTTGGGATCCTCCAGTTTTGAGTTTGCAAGAAGTGTATCCCCATGGGGCTTTAAAAAAATGCATGTGTGAACTGGGGAATATCATATTACCTTTTCTCCTTGGGTTCTGCTCCTTGAAGTTTCATAGAAGATCATTGAAGCACAAATCAAAGAGTAAAGAGAGAATAAATCCCAATTGAGATGGAGCTCATGGAATCTCCTTAGCCTTAATATGAAGCTTGATGTGGCACATCAAAGGCAGTTTTACATATTTTTGCATCCCTTGTGGTCCCCAAACTTTCAAGAGGGTTAAGAGACTACAGTAGAGACATCTTCCAGATGTGTCACAGGATTGCACCAGCTTTTAATAGGGTAACAAAGAACTGACTACACTCCATATTAAAGGGGTATTTTAAAACTAGTGAACCTAGGGTGCGATCACACACAGAATTAGCCGCGCCATAGGTGCGAATGCCAGGCAGATTTTAAGGGCACGATCACACGAGAACATCTGCCAGGCGTCCTGCACCCATTGGCAACCCGTTTTGCTCCACCGCAGAAGCGGAGTAAAAACACTTTGGAAAATCCAGTAGCAAACGATTTGTTATGGGCCAGGAACAGACTTTCCCCTGTGTGATCGCGCCAGCGCACTCTCATGGCGTCGGGATGGCCTGATCGGGCCATCCCAACTCCATGCCATTGTTCCCCCCCCCCGTTTCAGTGTGTGCATTATCACACACTGCATAAGGAACACTTAGTGCAGAGATGCGATTCATCGATCCCCTGTTGAAGCGCAATGGAAACACGAGGCAAAAAACCCACACCTGATTCACCTGCGGGTGCGTCTGATCACGCAATGGCGGGCTGCCCCCGCAGCTCCCAGGGACTGTGTGATCGCACAACCACGGGTCAAATTGCAACGGAGCAAACAGCCTCGCTCCCCCCCCCCACGTTATCTCACGTGTGTGACTGCAACCCTATTGTGATAAAGGAAATTGAAAGTAAGACTACATATTGGGGTAGTCTTACTTTCCATGGGCACAAGGACTTCTACCCACAAAGTATGACTTTCAGGGCCCTCTGGCAGCCCAAAATATTCTCCAAAATCCTTTTCCCAGGGTTCACCTCTCCCCCAGGTGGAGGTTTCAGGAGGCATTTTGGGCTGCCACAGGTGGAGGGAATTGCAAAAATTGTGCTCTGTGGGTGAAAGTCGTTGCACCTATGGAAACACTGTGATGTATCCAATCTGTTACATGTAGACACATATATTAAAAATCCTAGTGGCCGCTTCTTAGTTTGGATTTTTTTTTTTAAGTAGCAGTAGGGAAGGGGTGCTTAAACTTTCCCCCACAGGCAGCTTTTCTGTTGCAGCTCCATGCCTCTGCAGCTTCTTTTCAGATCACCCCCTCCCCAAACTGTTTTTCCTGAGAAGCAGCAGCTGTCAGGATTTCTTTCCACACTTTTGTGTTTAACGGGTCATTTGGCTTTCAGAGCTTATCCACACTGTGGGAAGAAATATCAAATAAAAATTTTAGGGCAGGGATGGCAACACAGTTTAGTAGACATTATTCATCCCATTGCTGCCTGCATCACACGCGCACACACACAAACACGCACACTAGTCAGTCTTGATTTGGGAAGAGCAGGTATGTTATTTCTGACCCAGCAGAATTTAAAAGAACTGTCTTAGGGTGCAACTTAGGATGACAGCAGCTGGACTCAACTTGGAACTTCAGTAGGAGAGAAAACGGCTAAAGACCAGATGGATATGGGAGGGGTCAGTTCCTGTTTAGTGATAGCAGGCCAAACTGAGAGAGTGGAGATTTCTGTGTGACTTACCGTAATTCCATGTCATGACAAGCTGTGCTACAAGACTACAGTGTCGTAACAGTGCTGTTCTACCTGCAGAAATACCAAACGTACAGCGGAAGTGTGGATGGATGAGTACAAGCAGTACTACTATGAGGCCCGTCCATCTGCCATTGGAAAGTCATTTGGAAGGTAAGTGTCCCAAACCAGGCGGTGGGCGTTCTTGCGAGCCACTGCGGAAAGCCAGTGTGGCGTAATGGTCAGAGTGTCAGACTGGGATCTGGGAGACTTGTACAAATCCTTGCTATTCCATGAAGCTCACTGGGTGACCTTGGGCCATTGACTTTGTTTCAGCCTAACCTATCTTGCAGGGTTGTTGTGAAGATAATGGGAAAGGCAGAACAATGTATGCTGAGCTTTGTGGAGGAAAAGTCAGATAAAGCAATGTATGCCGCTCTGAGCTTTGTGGAGGAAAAGTCAGATAAAAATATACTAGATGAATGATGGCGGGTCGACAACTTAGACTGCCTCTTACTCCTGGAAAACGGTGGATTTATTATATGTTTGCTTTCAATCTGAGTTATTTTTTAAAAGAAAGCCACATCCTACTCTTTCCTGTTGGGTTTTTTGGTAACCTGAGGTTTTTTAATGTTTGTGTTCTTAAATCTGTCGGTTTGTTTTTCATCTGTAATGAACTTTTGTTTTATGTCCCTACAATTTTTTGTTGCACTGTTGGCTTCCTTGAGTCCAACAAAATAAAGCAGGATAGAAATATTTTAAATAAATGGACAAACTTTGGGTGAGTTTACAGTGACAAAGGAATGGATTCTACAAACCAAAAGTGGAAGGTGCTTGTGGTGGCAGATGTTTTCCTGCCCTCTTTCCTCCTGTAGCACCTCAACAGACAATGCTGGGAGTATGGGGTCAGGTGGGCCTCATGCCCAAAACGACAGGAGTCCCTGTGGGTGAAAGTATCCTTCTCCCTCTTGCACCAATGGGAAGCTTGCTCTGCTGGGTTCCTCCCCCAATGGCAGGAAAGGGGTGGAGGCAATTCTGCCAAATTATTGCAGCCTTCTGTACCTCACAACGTGTCATCCAGGAGGCTTTCTCAACCTTCAGCATTGCCATTTCTGGGGTCTTAGGAAGCTGCTGGAGGAAGGTGGCAAGAAACACCTCTGTGAATGACTTACGTTCTCAGTTCTCACTGGGTTGGATCCTGTGACTATGTTGCCATTACTGGTAGAACCAGTCTTTGGTACAGGAAGCCCTCTGCCAGTGAAACACACCTTTCGTGTCAGAGCAAGGAGCCCTCTGGTGACAGGAGGTGGTGCCATTAGAGGAGCGCAAGATCCAACACATTGTGTTTCCTCATCCTTTTTGCAGTTGGTTGTCTGAGTTTGATAGCACACAGCTCTGTGTTCTGCTCTTGAATTATCACCTTCTCTGAATGGATGGGAGCACACATGCCTTGATGTGGGGTGGGAGGGGTTGAACACTGTAGAGCTCATAATGCTCCCTTACGGGCAAAAAAGGAAAAGACCAAATGGCAGAACACAGCAATTCAAAAACAGCAGTAGCTCCCCTGAGACAACAGAGACATCAAGCACAGCATTCGCCCTCCTAAGAGATTAATGTGAAGTTAACAAACAGGAACTTCTAACAGCTGTCCTTCCCCCAATTATCTATGGTAGAGCAAAACAAACTTCACCCTCGTTTTGGGAACAGACTGCATTTTGCCTTTTTATCTCCGGTAAGGATATGTACATAAACCTGCTGTATACTGAATCTATCAAGGTCTATAAAGGGCAGCATTGTCTACTCTTAATGGCAGCAGCTCTCCAAGTTTTCAACCTGAGGTTCATATCGAGGATTGAATCTTAAACCCTCAGCATGCAAAGCAGATGCTCTACTATCGAGGATTGAATCTTGGACCTTCAGCATGCAAATGAATGTGTACACCTATTGAAAGGCTTTTATAAAGTGAAATGGTCGCAAACGAATGTTTACACCAATTGAAAGGCTTTTATAAAGTGAAATGGTTTATGGACACTTGTTGGCAAAGCATTCACTTGGACCAGCAACCAAGCAGGCAGGAATGTCACCTGAAGGATAATTCAACCTCACAGCCTTCTCCTACCATCTCCTTTGTTCTCAGAGCATCTTGGTAACTGTCAGCCATGCCTGAACACACGTCATGCTTGTCTCACTAATCTTTTCGAGTTCTTCGAGAGGGTGAACAAACATGTGAACAAGGGTGATCCAGTAGATGTTGTTTACCTAGACCTCTAGAAAACATTTGATAAATTTCCTCATCAAAGGCTCCTAAGTAAACTCAGCAGTCATGGAATAAGAAAACAAATCCTCTTCAGAAACTGGTTAATTAATAGAAAACAGCAAGTGAGTATAAATGGGCAGTTTTCACAGTGGAAGGTGGTAAGCAGTGGGATACCGCAGGCTCGGTACTAGATCTGGTGCTTTTTAACTTGTTCATTAATGATTTGGAGTTGTGAGTAAGCAGTGAAGTGGCTAAGTTTGCAGATGCCACTAAGTTGTTGAGGTCGGTGAGAACCACGGAGGATTGTGAGGTGGTCCAGAGGGATCTGTTGAGGCTGGGAGAGTGGGTGTCAGCGTGGCAAATGAGGTTCAACGTGGGCAAGTGCAAAGTAATACACATTGGAGCAAAAAGTCCTAACTATAACTAAACGTTTGCTGTTTAAGACTCTGGTTGCAAAAACAGTAAGAAGTAATAAATAAATAAATAAATGTTGATGGGGTCCAAACTGGCAGTAACTGACCAGGAGAGCGATCTTGGAGTCGTGGTAGATATCTCACTAAAGATGTCTACTCAGTGCATGACTGCAATAAAGAAGGCAAATGCTGTGCTGGGGATTATTAGGAAGGGGATTGAAAGCAAATCAGCCAGTATCATAATGCCCCTGTATAAATCAATGGTGCAACCTCATTTGGAATACGGTGTTAAGTTATGGTTACTGTACCTTAAAAAAGATATTATAGCATTGGAAAAAGTGCAGAAAAGGGCAACTAAAATGATTAAGGGGATGGAACACCTTCCTATGAAAAAAGGTTAAAGAGGTTATGGTTCTTTACCTTGAAGAAATGATGATTGAGGGGTGATATGACAGAAGTTTACAGAATTATGCATGGGATAAAGGTAGAGAAAAAAGTACTTTTCTCCCTTTCTCACAATACAATAACTTGTGTGCACATCATGAAATTAATAAGCAGCAGGGCTATTTTTGGGCAGGAACGCACAGGAACAGAGTTCCGACTGGCTTCCGAGTTGGCTACGCCTACAGCCTCCCCTCCCCTCGGGTTCCCCAGGCGCCTCGCAAGCTGCGGGGCACCTGGGGAAGCCAATCCAATCCAGGGAGGGAAGGCAGTTTAAACTGCCTCTCCTCCTTGGGTTCCCCAGGCGCCCAGTAAGTCGCGGGTCACCTGGGGAAGCCGATCCTGGGAGGGAGCTGTGCTGTCAGGGGTGTGGCCTAATATGCTAATGAATTTCTGCTGTTGGGTGTGGCCTATTATGCTAATAAGTTCCTGCTGGGCTTTTTCTACAAAAAAACCCCTGATAAGCAGTAAGCTTAGAACAGATAAAAGGAAGTACTTCTTCACCCAAAGAGTAATTAACATGGAATTCATTCTCACAGGAAGTGGTGGCGGCTACAAGCATAGACAGCTTCAAGAGGGGATTGGAAAAACATATGGAGCATTGGTCCATGAGTGGCTGTTAGCCACAATGTATTAATGGAACACTCTGTGTGAGGCAGTGATGCTCTGTATTCTTAGTGCTTGGGGGGCAACAGTGGGAGGGCTTCTAGAGTTCTGGCCCAACTGGTGGACCTCCTAATGGCACCTGTGTTTTGGCCACTGTGTAACACAGAGTATCGGACTGAATGGGCCATTGGCCTGATCCAGCATGGCTTCTCTTGTGTTCTTAAGAACTTGTGCCATTTTATTTTATTCATTTTTGCTGTGTGCCTAGAGAAGAACCTCATACAGTTTGAACCCTTGCAACTCTTCAACAACTAGTCAGTCCAATAAAATACATATCTTTATATATTATAGTTTTCTCATTAATGGTGCTTCCATAAGACCACATCCAATCCTCCACACTGATGTTTGTCTATTTTGTAGTGGCTAAAGGCAGCAAGTATGTGGGCAACTGGTGATTGTTTGATGGTTGTTTGGCTATAATTGCTTCCAGTTGTAACCACAATGAACCTGGCCAAAGAGGCAGTCTCCTAATTTGGTGGAGGAATTAGCTTTAAGGTGACAGGGTGAGAGGGGGTAACTGGGATTCTCCACCTATGTTTATGAGGATTTTCCCCTCAAGAGAACTCTCCAAATAAACCTGGCAAATATTCTACAGGTAAGATTTTTATTCAAAAGAAATAGAAATTAGCAAAACACATACCCAAACAAACTTAAAACACACACAAGCTAGCTAAGAGGAAATTAGGGAGGAGAGGGGAAAACAATTTCAGGAAAGGCTATACAATTACCAGACTCGAAGAAGGAGGTCTGTGGAGGCAGCAGCGAAACAACCAGCATTTCACAGGGAAGGCCCACACGCAAGTAGGAGTGTATGTATGGGTCCCAGAACACACACACGCACTGTGCTGGTGGCTAGGTACTCCAGATATAGAGCAAAACACTGCCTGGGGCAGGCTGACGTGTTAGCCTGCAAAACAATAACTTGGTGGGTTTTTCAGAGGCAAACAATGATTTGGTAGAAGCATGATGAGATTTCCAAAGGTGGGCTATAAGTGTAAATGGTTTTTTATGACCCTTCAAGTACCAGTTGGGAAAAGCTACCAGGTTTGGTGAATAGTGTTAAGTATTGCTAAATTAAGGGTAAATGGTAAGGGGGAAGTGAGGCTGCTCATTGATGGAATTAGTCAGTAGAATCATAGAATCACAGAGTTGGAAGGGTCCATACAGGCCATCTAGTCCAACCCCTTGCTCAATACAGGATCAGCCTAGAGCATCCCTGAAAAGTGTTTGTCCAGCCGTCGATTAAAGACTGTTTCTTGGGAGACCTGTTGTCTGAAATTATGTGTTTCTCTGTGGCAGGGAGGAGGCACTAGTAAGCTGCTTTGACTCATCTTCAAAAATATTTTCCCAGATTTGTCTCTGGCTGGCATCCATTTTCTGTCATTTTGGCCCAGGCAGTGTCTTACATTTATGATTTTTGAGGTGATATTGTATGGGATGTTTATGTCTCTTTCTCTCTAACTGCTAAACTGCCCCTCTGTGGTAAGAGGGGTCTGATTGCTAACATATTCACCTACTCACAAACTTAGTCTATTTGCTTGAGTTTTTGTTTGCTGTTAAATTCATTACTGGGAACCCCATAGTGGGCCAATCAGCTCAGACAAAGATGTAATAAAAAGAGAAGTTACATAAGTGAGTTACTCTTCAGATACCAAATGAAGTGTTTTAACAGCAGGATATAAGTTAATGTAATTGTAGTTATATCATCTGTGGAGAAAATTCAAAACCATAGGTGGGGCAATTCTCTCATTTGTACAGAAGACCACACATAGCTTGAAATTGGCCAGTGTGCTGTGTCCAGGATTGTGTATGCATATCATCTCACAAAATCTTGGTACTGCCCATCCCTACAACTATTGTCATGTGCACTCTCATGTGTACATGTACACACTCCCCAATAGCCCCAAGTTGTTAGAGTGAACACAGACATAATGTTTATAAAGCACTGAAGCTATTTTTGAAGCTGAGGTTCCTGGTTTGACTGTTCTTTTGATAAAACATCTATCTTAGCCATTATTTAACTGGGCCCTATATGGGACAAGAAGGAAGATACTACTGAAAACAGAATTGTTTCCCAGCTGCTTTAGTGTCTTGCAGAAGGTCAGCTGTTACAGTGCATACCTGGTCAACAATCAGAGCGTCATCCCCCCCGACATGCCTATGTCACTTCTGGGTCATGTAGGCATGCCATGTTTATTTTTGGCATTCTTCCCTGTTGGGGGGGGTAATTCCCCCCACCGGCCAGCTGGTGGTAGTGGAGAGGAGCGCCCTACTTGCACTCTGTATGGAGTTAGAGTTTATAAATGCTTTTGCTGGCTGGCAAGTGGGGAAGGAGGAGAAAGAAATAAGTATAAGTCACCTTCCAAACATAGATCCATCCAGTGTCATAGGGATGCAGATGACGAAATCAAGAATGATTTAAAGTCTCTGAGTGGAGAGGTTGGACAGTTAAATATGAATTTGGACTGCTCAAACAAACAATTGAGCCTATAAATAAGAAATTAGACGAGCTCACCGCAACGTTGAAAATGATAGGAAAGCTTAATCAGCATTTCACTCAGCAAAAAAGAATGCAGATGACCACTAAAGAATTTCAGGAATTTGAGATATGGACCAAGAATAAGATCATACTCCAGGAAACAAAACTGAGAGAAAAGGTTAAACTTCATGGAGTATCTGTAAACTTTGGTGAAAAAGAAAATCTCACTGCAGCTTTATACAAATGGCTGACTCAGATTCTTCTAGGAGCAGGAGAAGCAGTGTCTTCTGAAGGGAACATCAGCTCTGCCTTCTGGCTAAATATCCCCCAAAAGGCTCCTGAAAACGCTTCCTCTGATATTATCATCACATTTAAACAAGTCCAGACGAAGAATAAACTTTTTGCAATTGCGAGAGAAAAGCAGGGACTGAGCCTGGAGGACATGATTGTGTATCTGTTTCCTGACATTTCAGTTGAGGCAATCATCGCAAGAAGATGTCTTAAGGAAACAGCAAAAATTCTCAGAGACAAAGGAATTCAGTACAGCTGGTTGCCGCTTGGACATCTCGTGGTTAATTTGGAAAACAAAATGTTCACTGCACATAATGAAATTACAGGGAAAAATTTAGTAGAGGCAGTAACCAAATTAAGTAATGTAAATGTTTGAACTGTGATATTATGTTTTGAAGCAGAGAGGTAGAATGTAATCCATAAAGTAAGTTAGAGTTAGTATGTTAGTATATAGAGTAAGTTAGAGTTAGTAGATAGGATGAGTGGGAATAATAATAATGGAAAATAGACAATAGGAATGGAATAGCTAAAGCCAACGGCATAGCAAGGAGGGGAAGGGTGTGCCCCCCCAAGACCTCCGATAAGAGGGAGGAGGGTTTCCTCCTGTTGCAGAGGCTTCCTCTGCAGCACCCAGTTTCAGAGGCTACCCTGTTCAACTTTCCTTTATAAGTATGGAAGAAAGACTATAAGTATAAAATAAGGATGTACGGAGGGAATCCAGCAAAAGAAGTATAGAAGTCTTGAATAACTTAAAGAAGAATGTAATAATGTTTAGATCATGAATTAGAGGAAGTTGTACGGCGGTTTGGGCAAGCGGGTAAAGAAAGGGAATAAGATAATGAGGATAGAGAGTACTTATATGCTTTCAATTTTTAATTTGATTCTTAGAAAGAGGAGAATATGAAAAATGAAGTGTTAAGATATGTATAAAAATATATGTATTATACACACACACACATATACTTAATAAAATATCAATTAAAAATAGCTATGAGAACATGGTCCTGAGACCACCAGGGGGACCTCTAAATATTGAAACCAAGGTAATGGATGATTTCTAACTGCTTGCAAGCAATGTCCCCTCTAAGCTGCGGAGTCTTGTGAGCAAAACTTCTACTTTGTGAGGTGCTGGCATTAAAGTTGTGAGCAAATGATTTGGCTACTGCATAAATTAGCTTGCTCTGGACTCATCCTCCCTGAGCTAAGACAAAAATCTGTGAGCTGGAGGCTAAAATTCTGTGAGCTAGCTCACACTAACTCAGCTTAGAGAGTACACTGCTTGCAAGTCCAACTCCCTTGTTATCATCTGTAGAGGGATGTATAAAGTAGAGCTGTTGACCTCTTGTTATAAGGGCTGGATCTGATATAAATGTTACTTTGTTGGGCCGGGCCATGTGTGCCATGAAATGTAATGCCAGGTACTGGAGAGATGAACTTTATAAATGACACAGGCAAACTCTACTAGCAATATTTTTTTCACTTAAAATACAAACAAAAGCAATTGATTCCTAGGACTGAAAGCAATTGATTTACTGGGGAACCCACAGACGTTCAATAAAGGTATTTAAGCATATGCAAGACTAGCTTTCCATACAAATTAGTTACTTTTTGTATATATAGCACTGTTAGGAGACGAGTCATCTTTCTTGCAAGTAAATAAGAGTTTTTCAGTGCCGCCCCCCCCATACACCCAGCCTCAGCAGCCAAGCACGGCTATGATCCGTCTCTTGCTCTTTGTTTCCTCTCTTTCTTTTTTCCAGTCCTACCTTTGAGGTGGTCCAGGCTGAGCGACCGGCCCTGGGTGACCCAGACAAAAGGTTCCTGGCTGAGGAGGAGGAGGAGGGTCTGAACCTGGCTCTCCCAGATCCCCCCCCCACCTCGGCTTCATAGTTCTGCCACCTAGCAATTTCTTTTCTATTTCTTGACAGCTTTAACCACACACACTTCACCCAGGGGAGGAACAATGGTTAAATCCCACTTCCCCAGAGTACTTAAATAAGTATGTTGGTCCCTTTGGTAGCAAGGGCAAAAGGAGAGGAAAGGCAAACCCAGTGCTATGCCTTTAAGCAGCAAAATGGCTCAGAGCTCAAACTTTCAGGTAATTTTGATTTGATGGTGGCAGTGGCTGAAAAGAACTGAGACTTACTAGTGATTTCAGCTCTCATACTTTATTTCAGCTCAGAACAGACAAATTGCCCAGCTCGCAGGCTGGTTTATATGCACAACAACCCCGCACCCAAAACACACCCACACACTAGTGATTGGCTATTTACAGTGGTTGAGAGTTCCATAGGCTCTCGACTGGAAGCCTAGCCTGCCAATAGGTGCGGACTAGCATCCGCTTGTCCCATTGTTCCTGTGAGTGAAGCTCGACGGCTTCGCCTGACCGCGTGGCGCAATGGCCGCGCACGCAGTCTGGGATGGATACATTACAGTGGCCCAGAGAAAAAGGATGAGAAATAGAGAGGGGAGGAAGAGGGGCTGGGCTGGGCTGGGCTGGATACCCACAACAGTTAAGTTATTACTCCTGCACTAGGCAGACAAGAGCTTGCAAGCCATGTTTACCCACATGTGTATCATGAAATCTTTTCCCTTCATGCTCATTGACAACCTGTATTCCTTCCAGCATTGCAGACCGAGTAGAGCAGCGCAGGAAACTGAACTGTAAATCCTTCCAGTGGTACTTGGAGAATGTCTACCCTGAGCTCAAGTGAGTACTCGAAGTCTCAAAGAAAACTGCAGGATGCATATTTTAATGTTGAGGGAGGAAAAGAAAGTGGTAGATACTTTTCCAATAAGTAAAGTATGCCTGTGGCATCTTGAAGGCACCACAAATTAGAGGCTCTTTTCAGAACCTTCTTCCCTGGCCTCACCACCTGACCCTTGTCTCCATTTAAACCCAATATTCCGTAGCAGCCTGGGACTATGTAACAGAAATTGAGTCACGTCCTAGAGCTTTTATGGTAGTAGATGAAAAGCAGGGTGGGTTGACATCAAATTTCTGAAGAGTGAAAGATCAGAAATATGAGAGAGTTATAGTTTCCTCTTCTGAGGTATTCTGGAAGGGAGAAATATGTACCTGCTGAGAGAATAATAGAACTGGGGTGTTATATCAGTGGGAAAAGAGATGAGAATATTTCTTGAGAAATAGCTGTAGCAGTATGAAGGGTATTATAATTCATTCTTATTAGAATTAATAGGGTTTGATTCTGAAAGTTTTGGCCTAATAATTCGAAAAGGTCAGAGATGCTTGCTGGGGTGAACTAGAAATATCACTGGGTAAATATGGTTTAAGATTCTTTCTAGTCTAAAATTTTCACCACTGAACTAGCTAAAGAGCAGGAGTAGTTTAAGTAAAGGGCACAGTACATCTTGGAGGAAAAAGAGAGGTTCTCATGCAGTTTGGTGCCGAGGAAAAACAAATAATTGAGGTTATGTTTGTACAAATAGTGGTATGTTTAATGGAACCATGGTACTATCTCACTCACTAGTAGCCTCTTTTCCCTCTAACTCCCTCAGTCACTTCAGTAGATGGCAAAATTGGCAAAATCCCTTTTTGCCACTTTTACACAGATCTATTATTGTCTTTCACTCCAGATGGGGGATAGCAGTTCTGTGGTGTGTGAATAACTTTACGAATAATGCTTTATCCCTTTCTTGATAAACTTTGCAGGGTCAGCGTTGATAATCTTGTGTTTTGGGATTTTGTTTGCTTTTAATTTTGGTTTCACAGGATCCCAGAAAAGGAGTTGATTCCTGGGATCATCAAACAAGGAGTAAATTGCTTGGAGTCTCAGGGACAAGACACAGCAGGAAACTCTCTAGCAGGAGTTGGAAGCTGTAAAGGGACAGTGAACGATCCTGCTGCCACTCAGGTGAATTAGAAGCCTCACCCTTTGTTCTTTCCTATTCCTTACTGAGAAAAATGAATGTGTCCACCTGAGGTATGTGGGCCTCAGTAGGTCTGAGGATAGGACTTACCAGACCTCACCTCAGTGCTTCCTTCAAGCTAGAGAGAGAGATGGGATTGACTAAACTGCATTCCATTCTGATAATCTTCCCAACTACTTGACTGGGCCCTTATTGGTAGAGCACATTGACAGCATGTCATCATTATACTGGGTTACCCTTGCCTTGAATGATAGCTGCTCAGCCTCTGTTGACCTTGAGTTCGGTACTGCCTGCATAAATGCCTCAGCTGCTGGTACTGATTTTGGAAGCAATGAAGATCACTGAAACCAATCCCAGGAGTTCCAGAACTCTATAGGTAGCAGGTGAAGTAAGGCTTAACAAAAAGTTGTTTGGTCCTGGGACCAGCATTAAGAAGGCTTGTGATGTGCTTTTGTCTCAAGACTGTTCCCCTCAGTACACTTTTCTTGCATAGAATGTGCTTCCATGGAGGAAAGTGCATGAAATCTTTATGCAGGTCCTGAAGTTTGTTTGTACACAAATTTATTTCATTGCATATTCAAGTGTGGAAGCTACTGCTGGTCATGGTTTCCTAGCATATGGACTCTAGAGAGATTCCAGTGTGTGTAATGGTGATAGTCTACAACCAGTTTTTTCTTGTATGGAAGTGCCCTGGTGTTTCCCAATCAGCTGGGTGCACTTTGGTCCATATGTTATGTGAAAATAGTGCATGCTATTGTCCTGTGATCTTTATTGCCAGATCTGTTTAATATTTGGAAATTACAGTATTACTTCATATGCAATTGCAGGTACTATAGGTACATGTCCTCCTAGACAGGGTTGTACTGGTACCCTAAATGGTAAATTCCACAGGGCAGCCATGTCTGTTGCAACCAAAAACAACAAAGAGCCTTGTGACAATTTTATTTATAACAAGTTTATTGTAGCATAAGCTTTTGAGTGCATGAGCCTACATGTAGCATCAGACTCTTGAAAGTCTTTAAGGAGCTACCAGACTCTGTTGTTTTAACCCGTATAATTTTATCTTATAGCTCAGTATTGAGCTAGAAGTTGCTCTCCTAAAACTATGTGAGCTCCACAGATCCTGACAAATCTCCTCTTTACTGAGTAAGAATACACTGGAAAGGACTCTAAAATAGTAGCTGCTTCCTCTTTGACCTTTCACAGTTGTCCTGCAATGTCTGGGTCAATGCTGTATGCTGGTTTAAATTGACAAAATCATCCAGTGGCTTTTGATGCATTTATCTTGGCTGAGGAACTTGCCTGAGAATTCCTCATTCAGATACTGTCATGTTGCAAGGAAGCAGCTTGGGTAAGCAAAAGGTCACAGTAGGATATCAGATGCCAGCAAATGCTCATTCACATCTGTTAATGGTTGGGAACGAGTTTTCAGACAGCAGTCCAACAAGCTGTTTGATTTGACTTGCTGTGCCATTTTGCCATTGTTTGAAATTGCTGAAATTCATTGAACTGTATCTCTGTCCTGGGAATTCTCCCAGTGAAGAAAGCGAACATTAATTGTCTGTTGGGAAGGGTAGTGATTAGGTGGGAGGATAAATCAATGAAGTGGGCTTGCACTCTTGAGTTCTGTTTTGTAAGAGTGTGGTTGTGTGTGCTGTATCCCTAATGATAAATGGCCTGTTTTGCCATCACAGTGAACAGCTGGTACACGTTTTAGAAACTAGTTGATGAATTTCCCTATGGTGTAAAACATGTAGAAACTGTTACCTGTTGTAGAAATTAAGAGGCATGAACCTGGATCTGTTCTAATGCAGCCTGTGCCAGTGGTGGGTGAGGATGGCTTGAAATCCTTGGGCAAGTTGCAACCTATGAGGCAGGCACACTTGTGTGTTTTAAAGGTGTTTTTACATACTGAGCTTGGTGTTTTGCAAATCTGGCACACGTTTTGCTGAACACCTAATTAGTGTCCTTGACATATACAGGGAGCTACATCCAATGACTTCACTGCTGTAGCAGCAAAACCTTCCTCCAGTGCAAGTAGCCTTCCCTTGATGAGATGAGCTTGGACCCACTGGAAGTGACATGTTCCACTGGGAAACATGGGGGGAAATCTCCTTATACTAGAAGAGAGTTCCGTTAAAGTAATAGGATCCATTCCTGTTTCTTTCCTGGAGCCTTCTGAGGTTTCCCTCCTTCAGGCTTTAGATTTTTTCAGCCCAGTTTCTACTGAAGAACCAACATTTAAAAATGCCTAAAGCTGGCAACATGAAAAGATGTTTTGTATAGATGCTTCTCTCATGCTCCACCTTATACGTGTGCATCACTTGTATGCCAGATCCTGGCATACACAGCACTAGTGTGGTATGAACATTGCACTGGTGTGGTGCAAGCATTGCTACTGTGCTGCATTCCTTTCAAAGCGAAACCAATCACAATGAGGAGCACCAGCACAAGGAAGCATTTTTGTGCAGCAGAGGCAGAATGTTTAATCAAGCCAGAACCTTCAGTAAGCATGTTTTCCCACCTAAAATAGACTGAGCAATGTGACAGGGTGTTTCTCTTCATTGGAAGCTGTCAAAGGTCCTCAGCCCAGCCTAAGGACCTTTGGTCCAACAAAATTACAAAATCCTAGTGTGTGGCTGCCCACACACTAATTGGATAGGCTACCACCAGCCCTTTTAACTATCCTAATGGCTTAGATGCAAAAGGGCAAGCTCCTAGCCTTTCCGGGATTTAACCAGAAAGTCGACCCTGCAGGGTAGACCTGCAGAACCAGTTCCCAACAAAGACAAGTTACCTGGTAGGTGGTCACTTAATTAGATTGAGGTCAGTTGAAGGCAAAAACCACAAGCAAAGAAAACGGGCAAGGATGTTTTTAAAAGAACAAGACTGAGGGGGGGGGGAAGAAAACTAAGAATTATAATGCTGGCTAACACAGTAATACCATGGTTCCAAGTTACCAGATGTTACTCCATCTCAGGCTGAAGGCTCTCAGCATCAAAGCGGCTCTCTCCAGAGACAGCCAGGGCCAGCAAGCGGTTTGGCCCACTCAAGCAAGCAATGAAAATGGCTGCCAGGAACATAACAGCAACTGCATGGTGTGGTAATACACAGTCACATCAGACTAACACTAAGGTGAAAACCTAACTTATTTATGGGTAAGGGTCCAATGTGGTCCCAGGCCTGAAGAACCAATAGGAACCCTTAATGGTGATGTAATTCCCTGCTGCTGGGCAAATGACCTATAAGGTGACTTGACCAGTATGAAAGGAATCGAAACTTTCCCACAGGGGAAACTCATAGACCTCAATTGGTTAGAATGTGTTAATTGGAAGTTGGTGCTAGGCACTCAGCTCCTCTGCACAGCTGCATATTATCTACGAATAGCAAGATCAGCTTGCTTTGCCAGCAGTGTCTCTATCTCTGGCAATTCACACTAGGCCACGTTTGAGGCCTGAACCAAGGATTTTAAAATGGCCAAAGTTTCTAAGGACTAATTTTCTTCACAGAAGCCATGCAGCCTTACATGTTCTAGCAGCTGAGCCCTTGCCTGCAGCCTCCTACTGATTAGCTTGAAAGTGGAGGCAGGTGCCATATACCTGGGGACTGGGGCCCCCACTATGCCCATGGCAAACCCTGGACTTCATATAGCAAATTGTGCCAGTACATGCAGATGCATTTGACCAAAGTGCTGGCTCCTGCAGTCATTTTCTATAAGAGCATCCTGGGTACACTTTCACATGGAGAAAGTTGTATCTAAAAGTACTATGACTACAGAAATCTCTGGATGTCCCTCTGTATCCTGGGGGAAAGAACACTGTCAGTTGAGGCCTCCACACAGTAGTCCTTTAATTCCTCAAGTAATATTATAGGGACATGTATGCCCAGAATCATTCATGTGGAGAATTGTAGGTGGCAAAAATAGGTAACTTTATATTTAGTAGCTCTAGGCATGCTCAGTAGATGCCTGCTCCCCGGGGCTGAGGCAAGCCACACCCACGAGAGGTCTGTCTTGAAAGCTGTTGAAGCACGAGCACAGAACCCAATATTTAGCATTAGTGGCTGAAGAAGGACATTTTGTATTTCTAACCTTACACTGAACTCTGTTTTTATCTTCTGCTACCCCCAAAGGAGTGGATATTCAGTGATCCTTTAATCAGGCAGCAAGACAAGTGTCTTTCAATCACCTCATTCTCCACTGGGTCTCAGATCACAATTGAGGCGTGCAATCAGAAAGACGGCAGACAGGTACTGTACTAAGACCAATCCTGATGTTTTATTCTACTGCTGCCTTAGTGTCATAGTGGCATATTTAATAAGTGATATTGGGAATGCAGCTCCTGGTCTCTTTGGGGGTGGGATGCAATCAGAGGAGATCTAGAATTCCACAGGTAGGTAGCAAATTTTAGGGAGGGTTGGTGAAACGTTTTGACTAAAAGAACAGTCTGTACATCTGCTCAGTGTACATGTGCACACACACACAGTTGTTCAATTGAGAAATATCGTAAATAGATGTGGCCAATGCCTTTTTCCTAATAGCCTTGATTGCTTGAGATCTGCCTCAAAACTCCATTCGGTCATCTTGGGTTCTAGGATGCTTCGGACTCCAGTTCCTTCCTGGGCAATGCAAGTGAAGGGTCATACGATTCAGGCAGCATTCTTGCTCCAGTGGTACACAGAGAAAATGACGGTCACTTGCAGTCTGACTCTAATCCAGATTCATGTGCAAGCCATGAATGATTCAAATGCCACTGAAAGAAACACAAATGTAGCAGGGAATCAGTCTTGCAGAAGCAGCACATTGATGGAATGGCTGCTTTGCTCTTCCTGATGCATGTTCTTCATTCTGCCATTGGGATAAAGAAATCCTATGTCAAAGGGCCGTGCTGGACATTGCTTCGGAAGTACAGGACTGCTTTGTATGTGATGTTTTCTTTTAAATGCACATTTGGAAGGAGCTGGGAAATTGCTGAAGATGCTCATATGTGTAATATGGAAACAGACCTGAGCCTCAAGGGCTTATCTAGATGAGCAGTGAACTCATCTGAGTTGTGTGCTCACAGTTGTTTTCTGGCTGGATCTCCACATGCAAGTTGAAAACATAGGTGGAAAAAAGTTAACAATCCCTGGTACAGTAGGAATGTCTGTAATTGTTATTTATCTACAAATAAATAAAGCCTGTGTGGTATGTGACAGATCTAAGGAGCATGAAGCTTATAATGTAGTACCTATAGAGGAAGCTGCTCTAGAGTAGAATGGTTTGGTCTGTTGCTATCTTGCATATTTATTTATATTTACATTTATACCCCGCCCACCCTGTAAACAGGCTCTGGGCGGTTTACAGGAGACGGTCGAGAGGCCGATACAAATATAACAATAAAAATATTAAAATTCCTTAAAAACAATCTTAACAATAAAGTGCTCGCTACAGCAGAGTAACCTTAAGATGAATGGCGTATCTGCATTCCTTCTGTCTTCAGATCTTAAAATCAGTCCCACGGTGCAGATGTTCTCCAGTGAGGCTCAGAGCGGGCCAGTCCGAAATTCCGGATTGATGGTAACTGTGGTGGCGGCTCCTATTTGAAAACCTGGTGGAAGAGCTCTGTCTTGCAGGCCCTGCGGAACTGTGAGAGGTCCCTCAGGGCCCTGATCTCGTCTGGGAACTCGTTCCACCAGTATGGAGCCGCCACCGAAAACGCCCTGGCCCTGGTAACGGCAAGTCTCGCCTCCTTGGGGCCCGGGATAGATAGACGTTGTTGGGCCCCAGACTGTAGTGCTCTCTGGGGCACAAATGGGGAAAGGCGGTCCCTCAGGTAAGCTGGACCCTGGCCATATAGGGCTTTAAAGGCCACTTGAGTGTGAGGTGCACCAGCACCTTGAAGCGAATCCGGTAAGCAATTGGCAGCCAGTGCAGCAGCCTAAGCGCAAGCTGGATGTGCTCCCGACGCGGGAGACCCATCAACAGCCTGACCGCGGCATTCTGCACCAGCTGCAGCTTCCGGATTTGGGACAAGGGTAGCCCCATGTAGAGAGCATTACAGTAATCCAATCTCGAGGTGACCGTTACATGGATCACCGTAGCCAGGTCGCAGCAGTTGAGGAAGGGAACCAACTGCCGAACCAGCCGAAGATGGTAAAAGGCCGATTTTGCAGTGGCCAATACCTGGGCCTCCATCGTCAGAAGGGGATCCAGGCGCACTCCCAAACTCCTAACCTCCAGTGCTGGCACTAATAGTGACCCATCAAACGTTGGGAGTGGGAGCCCCAACCCCTTACCGCCACGACTCAGGCATAGGACCTCAGTCTTCGCCGGATTCAGCTTCAACTGGCTCAGCCTAAGCCAACCAGCCACGGCCTGCAACGCCCGGTCCAGATCTTCCGGTCTGGAGTCCAACTGGCCCCCCCAACATCAGGTAGAGCTGGGTGTCATCAGCGTACTGATGACAACGCAACCCAAACCTCCTAGCCACCTGGGTAAGGGGGTGCATATAGATGTTAAACAACATCGGGGAAAGCACAGCACCCTGAGGCACCCCACACTCAAGTGGCTGTCTCCCGGACTGCTGTTCCCTTAGCGCCACCCTTTGTCCCCGATCCTGGAGAAAAGAGACAAGCCACTGTAAGGCAAGCCCCTGTATCCCCACGTCGGCAAGGCGGCGGGCGAGTGACCCTGTCGAACGCAGCCGACAGGTCAAGCAGCAGCACCACCGCCGAACCGCCTCGATCCAAGTGTCTTTGGAGGTTGTCAGTAAGAGCGACCAATGCCGTCTCCGTCCCGTGTCCCGGGCGAAAGCCGGACTGGAAGGGATCTAACATGGAAGCATCATCTAGAAAGCTTTTTCCAAGCTTTTTCCACTGCTGCACGCTAGCTGTGGAACAGACTCCTGGAAAACGTGAGGAAGATTCCCACCAGACTGGCCTTCCAGAGGAAATGCTAAGCAGAATTATTCAGGAGGGTGTTTCAAGACAGTTCAAAGATGGTTTATGAATCAAAGTTTATGAACCAGGGCCTTTTTTGTTTAATTGATTATTGGTGAACTGTTCTAGGCACTGCCATTGCTCTGGAGCAGGTTATTTATTGACTCTATTTGTACTTGGTGTTTGGTATGTATTTATTTATTATTGGGAAAATGCATACTCTGCCTTTCCACCATAAATAATCAAGCTGGTGTATATCTGCAAAAAATCACCACAAATAAATAGTAAATTTTGATAAACCTTTTAAGCAATAAAGTAAAAAACTTCAGAAAGGTCTACAAATTAGCAATAACTGGCAGTAAAAAGAACTTTAAGCTAATTAAAAAAACCTCAGAGCTATTAAAAAGTAATGAATGAAATCAGCAATTGTAGAATCAATGGTAAAAGCTACAACTGGAAGTAAAATAAAACCAAAAGTACAGATTAAAACAACATCAGGTAAGCGGAAGAAATAAAGCCAGTGTGGTCTAGTGGTTAAGAGTGGTGGATTCTAATCTAGAGAACTGGGTTTGATTCCCCAATTGTCCTCCACATGAAGCCTGCTGGGTGACTTTGGGTCAGTCTCTGTTTTCTTTCAAAACTCTCTCAGCCCCACCTACCTCACAAGGTGCCTGTTGTTGTCAGGAGAGGAAGGGAAGTTGATTGCAAGCCACTTCAAGACTCCTTAGGGTAGAGAAAAGCAAGTTATAGAAACCTGCTCTTCTTCTAAAATCTTGACAAGTCTCCAAATATTCACAAATGCAGGGCCTAAAGAGCCTCATGAGTCAAGGAATTCCAGTCTAGTGGCCACTAGTGAAAAGGCCGTTATTGCAGCTGTCATAGGCCTGCAGAACATCCGAAGCCGATCTCAAAACACAGGCAGGCTTTTGCTGGTGGAGACAGCCTTGCACAGCTATGCCAAGCATCGTTTCTCCTGTCAGTACTGATGGATGGAGAAACTGTGTTTGCCAAACTTCTTTTGTCACTTTGCAACTGAAGAGTCAGAGGAGGAACCTCCTCTTGGTCAAGGAGGCAACAACCTTAACTCATTCTGGGTCTTCCTCATCTCTGCCCTATCAGCTCTTTCAGTTCACTGGCCATCTGCAGAAAGCACTTCCATTCCCCAAGAGATCTAGCTAATGTAGGAGGGTCTGTAAAAACTGCTGCAGCAAATATTTGGGAAAACTCTCAGAACTGAAATGAGGACTTTGTGAATGTTCCCAGATCTGCCTTCCTCTCTGCCAATGACCATATTCTCCCCAGAGTACTATGGAACTAGGTCACCAATTTCCCTTTACGTGTCTTTACAAAATCTTTTTCTCAGTGGCATGGAGGACTCTTGCATCAGCAACAGCAAAATCTAACAGCCAGTTTAATTCTTTACTATATTAAGTATAGCCCGTTCTATTAGTGGTACCCACCATTGTTCACTAGCATCCATTCTGAAAAGTGCATGAGAAACAGCACAATATCCATTTGAGACCAGTTGCCTGCAGCTTTGCTGGCCCAAAATAGAACCAGAGGATCCAGGAATATGTTTCTTTTTTTAGCTTCCATTATGGTGAGCCCGAAATCCCATACATCAGCTTGCATAGCGAGCACCTGTCTTGTAATCAGGTCACACACAAAATGCCAGCTTTGGTGCCTTTTCTGACCTGTTGTCTCTCCTTTTCAGAGGGCACACTGAGTTGCCCCATGGCTGAGTTGCCCCACATTGTCCTGCTAAAGAAGTCTGCTCAGCCATAAGCAGGGTACCAATTGTAGCACACTTTTGCTAGCATAAACAAGCATTTGCATGCACTCTGATGTGGATTTCTGACATGAAGGTGGGTACAAGCACACTTGTTCACAGGCATGATGACAGCACTCACTATGATTGTGCTTTGACACCTGTAGAAACAAGCCAGAGTAATCAGCTGGGGCTGGCAGAGGTTAGAGTTTATCCTTTCCTGTCTAGGGCTATGTGTATACTGCATAAACAGAATTCAGATTCTGCGCCTAGATAATCAAAATTCTGCTCCAAGAAAGCTGAAATACATTGCCTATATGAATTACACAAAATGATCAGTTTTCCTTAACTGCTCTTACAATATATAGTTTATCCTTCCATCTTTGCTGCTTTGTATAAATTCTTCTGGTTTTGCTGTTCATAGAGATGATCAGGGAGCTATGAGTTTAAAAATCCCAAATCTATATATTTTGTTTGTAAACATTTTTATGGAAAGGGGCCCCTCCATTAAAATACTTATATTGTCTTGTGAATTGTTATGCATTTCTTTTTGCTTGAACGT